GCAGGAAGACGTCGGGATGCTCCGGGTCGTCTGCCATCATGGCCATTAAGCCCAAAACAGAAACACTTTTGCTGGCGGTAGACTTGAACTGTGAAAAATACAGTCAAAATATTAAAATGCTTCTAATCTTTTTTAATATAAACATTTTAATTACAAATATATTAATGTGTTAATAATTTGTATAGACATTCATTTAACTTGAAATACTACAACTATTATTATTATTAATAATGAAAATTAGTCAAAACATTAAAAAGTGTCTAATAATATTTTTGTATTTTAATAAACATTTAAAACATTTACATTTTAATAAACATTTTAATTACAAATATCAATTTCATTTTATTATTAAAATGCTTCTAATCAAATGATATTAAATAGCATTGTAAGTATTTTTATTATTATTATACTGAAAATAAAATAACTGGAAGTTAGGGTCAACATATTAAATGCTTCTAATCTAATTTTTTATTTAATATAAATATTTAATTACTAATTACATCAAATGACATTACAATTTTGAAAGAAATATATTTATATTGAAAAATTATTATTATTACTACTACCACTACTTCCTTTTGTTATTATTATTATTATTTAATTAATTAATTTGAAAAATGAACATCAATTTAACTGATTAACAGCTTGGCTTCATTCTTGTGCACAATCCTGAACACACGTGTATCACAAGTGTCAGTGTAAGCAAGTAGCTGTGTGTGTATAAACATCTGTTAGTGTATGTGTATTGGATAGTGACATGTGCGTCTCATTAACACTGATAATGTGTGACAGCTGATGATGTCATCCATCTCATTATCCAATGACTGCAAACAGCTGCCTTCATTCAGCACTGAAGCCTGATTAATCAGCCATCCGGCATGTTGTTGTTAGCATCCTTCCTTGCTCCTCTACTCTTCCAGGACAGCATCACATCTCTACAAACGCCACCCAAGGCTTTCTGTCTGATTGAGTCCATTCAGTGTAACTGTTCCTGGCTCACAGGATCCCTGTCTCTCTCAAACTCTCCTGCTGGATGGTCTCCCATCAGTGTCATACTGAAGTGATTATGTGATGATGCATCGGGCTGCAGGACACAGTGATGCTCTCTTCCTCTCACGTGAAGAGTGTCATCATTTCATCAGCTTCAGATGGACCACCCGTGGACTGTACAAAGCATACTGTACTCTAAAAATCAGCCAGTTCAAATCTCACAGACGTGGGAACGAGGGTGCTCGGGTTTTTATTAGTCCAAAGTGGGACTAAGAAAAGATTTATGTTAGAACACCACTTTTTACATTTTACGTTGTTACCATATTTTAAAATAATTAATACTGATTCTCGGAAGAATCTAAGTGTTTTTTTTTTTTTTTTTACTGTATTACATAAAATTGACTGTAGAAAAAGTATAGAAAAAGTAGTGCAATAATTTTTTTTGTGAAAGAAAGATACAAAATAGATTTTTATTTAGCAGGGACATATTAAATTGATCAAGTGTGACAATAAATACATTTATAAATATAAAAAAATGTTTGTATTTGAAACTAATGCTGTTCATTTGAACTTTCTATTGATCATAGAATCCTGAAATAAAAAATGTATCACGGTTTCCACAAAAATATTAAGTAGCACAACTGTTTTTAACATTAATGATAATAATAATAATAATAATAATAATAAATTTTTTGAGCATCAAATACACATACTAGGATGATTTCTGAAGACCGTAAGGAAGCTGAAAATTCAGCTTTGCATCGAAGGAATAAATTACATTTTAAAATATATTCAAAAAGAAAACCGTTATTTTAAATTGTAATAATATTTCACAATATTACAGTTTTTACTGTATTTTTGATCAAATAAATGCAGCCTTGATGAGCACGAGACTTCTTTCAAAAACATAAAAAATCTTGAAAAAGTTTTGAAGGGTAGTGTATATTTATTTTAAAATGTAAATGTTTTATCATTTTTAATCTAATAATAATAATAATAATAGTTATTATATTCATTAAAATAAAAAATCACATTGGACTAATTTCTTTAAAATTATAATAACAATTGCCTAGTCATAAAAATATAAATCTTAATAGTCCTAAATAGGCCTAATCTTTTTTAAGCTTCTTAAATATGGTCAATTATTTTATTTTTTTGCCAGAATAAGCAACAATATGGTTTGTGAGACTACTGTGTGTTGGTATCTGTAATAGTGTGGAGAGACTCACATGCTTCCTCTCTGTGGCCTTGAGGGACTTGGCAGTATAATAGTAAAGCTGAGTACCACAAAGAGCCACCCAATACTTAGTCCACGCTGCCACCTACAGACAATACAAGAAAAACCAAGAGAGACAAAACATTAGTCCAAACACTGAAGCGCACATACCCACATCAGAGCAGTTTTCTCAGAAGTAGTGCAGAGAAGTAAATATATTGACCATAAACAATTATCAACCACTCAACTTGGTTAAATTAGACATGCAATAATTAAAGATACACTGCAACAGTCGCATTTTTTATTTCAGACGACTACCACAAACACCATTTCATACGTAGCTTCATAGGAAGCCTATAAGTGTGTTTTATTTTCATGGTTGAAATATAAAACTTTCTTTCATAAGTACAAAATCCCCACAACGTCAGCGAAGCATAATATATCAAGCTTGTTTGTGAGACACATTTCCTGAGCAAGCATAAAATAAAATAGGTGGCCAAGAAGAAATCTCAACATATCGATCAAGATTAACCGAATGATACAATCACTTAATTATACGCTAATGCAAGAAAACAGAGCCAAAACTGTAAATAAATGAAACTGTCCATGCTAAATTTTAAAAAGTGTTCACAATATTACTGTTTTTATATTTTATTTAAAATGTGAGAAAATGTGTAATATAATAGAATTAGTGCTGTGAAAATTAGCGTGTTAACGCAGTTGATTAATTTTCCCTGTTTAAAAAAATAATAATTTAACGCAGGGGCGGAGCTAGGGTTGGCCACCCCACTCACAACTGCTGTTTCGGTCTCTTTTTTCTTGACAAGAATTGCGTTTATTTAGATTCACAGAACATCTTTACGACCACATCAAACAAGAGACATTTCAGACGCGCACTCCAACTTCGCCTCAGCGCCAGGCACGAGTCAAACGAGCACGGAAACGGTACAGGCGACAAGGAGCTTCAGTAGAGCAACAGTGAACTGCAGTCAGATGAAACATATTGTCAGGCCATATGTCAGTAAAAAACAATTTTCCTCTCCTGTCAGCCATTATACTGTGTTCATAGTGCGTGCTCTTCAATCGCACGCAGAAGTACGGCGGCGCACGCTGTAGCCTGTATAATTTCATATTAAATATTTCTAAACAAATATTTAAAAAATACTGTCTTTATGTTGTTTCTAAATCAATTTGAATTCTGAATGTTAAATTATTGCAGTATAAATGTATATTTAAAAACTTTAATGTTAGGTGGAATTAATCGCGATCTCAGAAAAAATGTGTGATTCATTAGTTAATTTTTTAAATGGACTGACAGCACTAAATATAGTATAATAAAACATAACTATAAAAAGTGTAATACTGTGTAACATTGTGCCAAGTGTCAGATGAACATGCATCAAAATAGAGTTTTATTGGAGTTTTATATAGAGTTTTGTTTTCAACAATAAATAGATATGTGGAAACAATTTTTCATCTTATATTTCTTTTCTTTTTAAAAAAAAAAGAAAATGGCCTTCTTTATTTCGGTTTGCTAACAATGCATTGTGTTTAGTTGCATTTTATTATTTGCATTTGGCACCATTTTGGAAAATAACAGAAAAGAGAGTGACTGAGATCACGGGGAGAGTTTATGGACAGGAGACAGATGAAGAGTTGCAGCGGTGGTGTGTTCTCACCGTGGGTTTCTTGCCCTCCTTGAGGACTGTTTTCCTGCGCAAGACCCCCTGAACTGTGACGGCTCCTGGGTACAGATGCACCGCCAGCTCCTCCGACTCTGCAGAGCTACACACACACACACACAGGCTTAACTGACACACAGGGGACATGTAACACTTTAAAAAAAAAGGACACACAGAAACTTACAGATCAAGGGAATATATTTTAAAACCACACCCCAGAGTTATGATGTGAAGAAAGTGAGAGAGTTTGAGAGAAAAAAAAGCAAATGAGTGAACTGTGAAAAACTGAATAGGTAATATTGAGTAATATCCATCTTAAAGGGGTCATATGATGCGATTTCAAGTTTTCCTTTCTCTTTGGAGTGTTACAAGCTGTTCGTGAATAGATAAGATCCCTAAAGTTGCAAAGACTAAAGTCTCAAACCCAAACAAATATTCTTTATAAAAGTTAAGACCTGTCCACGCCCTCCTAAAACTCCTCGTTTAAACACGCCCCCACATACCTACGTCACTGTGTGGGAAGAAGGGATACGTTTGGGATAAGTTTGCCCAAAAATAAATTCTGTCATAATTTATTCAACCTCATGCCATTCAAAACATGTATAAAGTCAATTATATGAATCCAAGAACTTTGATTTGTGACAAATAAATAATTTAGGCAGTGAAACGGATCAACTGATTCATCAAAAATCTCAAAATAGTGATTGATCTATGAACTCTTATTAACCTGCCACGTAGTTAAGATTCTCATTGAATATCAACTTTAATTTCAATCTTTTCCTACTGCATGACTGTTTTTTTTTTTTTCTTGCAGATTCGAAATGAGGGTGAGTAAATCATGATTTTCTTTTCTGGTGAACTATTTGTTTACTTCTCATACATGTATTATTATTATTATTTTTTCTCTGCTACTGCATACTGCCAATAGCATTCTCTTTTCACAAGTACAGAAACAAAGCAACTCCACCGCCTACAAATGTTGTCTACAGACATTTCAGAGCCACAAAACATTCCTCTATTATTTAATTCTAAATCTACAAATAAAAGAACAGCAGCCTTAGATTCTTTAAGATTATTTTACATTCTCGTCGTTCGGTCTCACTAAATTGGCTTTGGTTTATTTTCATTTACAGTAGGATCTAACCCCCCCACCTCCCCTCAAACTTAAAGCATTGTCACTACTGTATATCAGCATACTTCTCATAAACATACTTTTGTGGCATTTTAAAGTCCACTTAGTGAAGGTTTTCTTAATTCTGTTTCCATGAACATTTTCTCTTATACTGTACAGACCCTGTTTTGGCTACTGCACCTTTAAGACTTCTGTATTTAGATGACCTCTGTTATGATTGGGCAATCCAGCCAGATGTGAACTACATAATACCGAAAAATTTAAATTTTTGATATGCAAAAGTGGATGATCATCTGTTAACCATATGTGAGCACCATATGTGCTTCATCACTGAACAAGCTCTTTTTATTTTATTTATTAAAAATATATATATATACCGGTACCCGTGTTCTTAAATGGATAAATTTAGCCACACAGAAATGCTCTCTGCGAGGGTTTTAGCATGCTGTGCTTTGACGAGCAGTACTCTCAGCATGGTAAACCCCTGTCTGAGAGGTTGAGCCTTTAAAATTAAATTTACCCTTTTTAAAGCACCGCTGGAGCCATCCGAGCACTGAACACATTCACCACATTCAACAATAAATTTCAAGACAATTACTGTCAGACTTCAAATTGTCTGCTGTGAGCAATGTTCCCTTTATTATTTACATTATCTACAGGTCTGCATCTGAGGTTATAGCCGTTTAGTCTATTTATTTGTTAACATCTGGCAGTTATCCTACTGCAGGGCTGCATTATTCCGTTTTTTAACCGTTCATTCGGCGCACCTTTTTAAAAAACATCGAGACCACTGTTCCATTGTTTCACAATTACAATTTAGTTGTTTTTGAACACAAGAACACGTCTAATGTGAAAAGCCTCTAAGGCTGATGATACACTGGGCAACTTTTTGAGCTATGTTGCTGGGCAACTATGGGAAATGTTGCCGTCAATGGGCAACCAGGTGAGACACAGGGCCCACGACCGATCTAAAATATCCAGATAGAAATATATTACCCATTCTCAATGGAAAAGTGCCCAAGCAACATTGCTCAAAAAACGTTGCCCGGCAAAATTGCTCAAAAAGTTGCCCCGTGTATCATCAGCAAAACAGTATATAGGATAAATATTCGATGTGGATCAGTATATTACATCTGTGCATTCGGTTTTAAAGGGACAGCAGCCTAATTTCATTGCTGTTGTCTGTCCCATTAATATTATTTGAACAACAAAAGAAAGAGAGAAAATCACTCACTGCTCTTGACTGAATCACTTTAGTAGCCCAAATAGGGATTCATCTAAATTGAATTTATATAAATATGTCTGGTTAAAAGAATGAAGAATGTTGTAAGCAATTTGTCATAAAGAATACATAGGTATAATAATATAACCATTAGTATTTAATTGAAAAGAGGACCAAGTTCTTTGTTTGTTTATGAGAAGTGGTTCAAACTTTGTTCAAATGATCAAACCTTAATATCATTCATATTGCCAGGTTGATAGATGTTTTCTATGGGAATATATGAGTTTGGAAATTTTGGAGAAATGTTTCATAAATGCATTACACTGAAAATAAACCCATTTTATTCAACTAAATCTACCGTAGATTTAGTCGACTAAAATCTTATTCAAGATAAAACAATTCAAATGACTAAAATATGACTAAAACTAAATGGCATTTTAGTCAAAAGCCTATGACTAAAACTAAATCCAAAATTTCTGTCAAAATTAACACTGCTTTTTCACAATACAATAACTGATGGACTGGAGTCATGTGGATTACTTGTAGATCATTATGATGTTTTTATCAGCTGTTTGAACTCTCATTCTGACGGCACCCATTCACTCGGGATCCACTGGTGAGCAAGTGATGCAATGCTAAATTTCTCCAGTGAAGAAACAAACTCATCTACATCTACTGTAGGATTGGCTGAGGGTGTGTGAATTTCCAGCAAATGTTCATTTTTAGGTGAATTATTTATTTAGATAATCCAATAACTAGTGAATTTCCTAGTTCCTAGTGATAATCCTAGTTTGATATCAGAATGTTGAATTTTTGTTGTTTATAGGTGTGGTCACATTGGCAAACTTTGTAAGAAGCACAGCTGTTGGTCAACTAATTAAACCTGATGCAAAATCCACGTAGGAAATCTTTCACCCTCACAAAAAATTCCCTATTGCAACACTAAATGTGACCACACCTAAAGGGTCATTCACAGTGATGGTGCTTTTAGCGCTGGATGTCGCCAACTGGCTGTATTGTAGGGAATAAATCAGCATTAGTTGTTCAAACCCTTATTTCATAAGAAGAACATTTAGTTTTCCCATGATGTGTTTCTTTATAACATTGCAGCAAGCGTCGTGGTGAGAGGAGCCGTGTGTGTGTTTGGAGAACAGAAAGCAGGAGCAATCACGAGATGCTTCAGTGGCTTTTGCGGGTTTTGATTAGTTGCAACAAGCCAGGACTGCAGCATAAGAGTCAACATCACACACGTGATTCAGAAAAGCCCACCACCTGATTCCCCAGCAAGAAAACACACACTGCACACTGTGACGGCGATAGCTCCCCAGTTGTTCAGGGTAAGTCAGACAGAGAGAGACCCAGCGGGGGTCGGAGGGTTGGTGTTACCTGCTGGGCCTGAGCGCTCCTCTGCAGGAAATGCGGCCCACTCTGCTGACGGGGCCCAGAGAGTGGTAGAATCGAGTCCTGCAGAGTGTCAGTCATACCGGGGCAGTGGTCAGTCACAGCCCTCACACATAACACACAGTACAGGCCATGCTAGAGCTCTGCAGCCTGGACTTTTCTTAGTCTCCTTCTGTGGTCTAAAGACTCTGGCTAACATGTCTAAACAAACGGTTGGCACACGACACGTGGTCAACCGATGTAGTTTTTTTAATAACCAATGTAATACCTAGAAAGCAGGCTGGCCAATGACCAATATAGTGTCAATATATTTAATATAACTATTGCATAATAGAGTCAACCAGCTATTATAGCAAAAAGAAAGTTACAGCGACGCCAAGTGCTTATTTTGCAAAAATGACCAGTGTACTGTACAAAATTCCACTAGTTATAAATGGCTAAAAACTAAATGAAATAAAAATAAAATTAATCAAAGAATCCTTAAAAAAACTGTATCAAAAATATTAAACAGCTTCAGATCTTTAATAATAAGACTTGAGCACCAAATGTGTATTACAATATTTTCTGAAGGATCATGTGACACTGAAGGCAGAATAATAATAAAATTCAGCTTTGCATAACCATAATAAAACCTTTAAATACTAAAATGCAAAACGTATTTTAAATCGTAAGAATACACATAATTTAACACCATATTTTTACTCAAAAATATGTAAAAATATAAATTGTGCATTATTCATTAATACAAAACGGACTAAAAAATGTAATTAAATGAATACCATATTTTTACTCAAAAATATGTAAAAACAGGAAATGTACATTATGCAGCAATAAGGCTATTGGCAGATTTTGGAATTGACACTTCTATTACTTGGCCAAACTGGCAGGGTTAACGGCTAATTTTGATAATCTCAAAATAGTCAAATTAATATACGAATGATTAAAATATGATTATTTGTAATTTATTAAATTCCTAATTTTTATATAAAACAGACTACCTTTTTAGAACACAGAAGGAGACAGAAAAGGGGGCTTTGACATGCATTTAGTGTACACTGATGCGTTTGTGTACACCTGATGCAGCATGGTAGGCAGCAGCTATCACAAATGACTCTCTCATACTCTGTTCCTGTTACAGGAAGTTTATCTCATTAGCTACAATAGAGGTAGAGCACTAATGAGGGAATATGATGATCATTTGCGGTCAGAGGAAAGCACAGGCAGCTGAGGGTCACAGAACACACTCTTCTCTGCCAAAAAACACACATTCTAGTGCAAAGGTCCTTTTACATTCACATGCTGAAGCTCATTTTAGCCCAGGTGTTTAATTATGGGAAACTAGAGTCTCAAAGCAGGTTTATGTCACACTTGAGATTGTCAACGCATTATAAACAATCAATTACAGATTAATCAAAAGCTGTCTTGGAGAAAAGTGATTGTGTTAAGTTAATGATGATGAAGAGAAGCGTTGGAAGAGTCTCTGTTCAGGAGGGTTGGTGGGAAGCGGGAAGGGTTACGTTAGATTCCAGCATGTTCCATGATGACATGCTGTGTTCATATGTACTCAAGCATGTGGTCATGTATGTGCGTGTGTAACTGTCCTTGACGGGGTTTGCAAGTGGGAATGTTTTAGAAGACTCACCTCTCAAAGGCAGGCCAAGACATCTCCTCACTGAGCTCCGACCCTTCACTGCTTCCTGAAATCATAAGATCATGACATATATTCATAAAAAAAGACTGATCCAGTCTATGATCCACTAGCTTTATGTGTGTGTTTGTGTGTTATACCCAGTGAAATGCCGCTAGACAGTGTTGAGCTCTCCGCTTGCCCTCGTGTGGGTGTGTGACTTTCCAGCACACTGTCATCCAGCAGGTGTCTGGATCCGGCGTTGGGGAACGTGGCGCTTTTAAACTCCGCTGTGTTCGTTTTGTGGATAAAACTGCAGCACACACAGGAAAGAGATGAAGTCAAGTTTGAAATGCTTTCTTGATCAACAGTTACAAATCTGGCAAAAAACAAAACTGAATATCACATATAGAGCACATATTTATGCATATAGTATGCATAAAGTGCAACCCCAATTCCAGAAAAGTTGGGACGTTTTGTGAAATGCCATAAATTCAAGAATATGTTATCTGTTCATTCTCTTTAACCTTTATTTAATTGACTAAAGTACATAGAAAAAAAATCCAATGTTTTAACTGACCAACTTAATTTTATTTTGTAAATATAAACGAATTTTGATTTTGATGGCTGCAACACGCCCCAAACAAGTTGGGACAGAGGCACATTTAACACTGTGTCACATCAACTTTCCTTTTAAGTACAATGTTTCATTGTTTGGGAATTGAGGATACTAATTGTTAAAAAATTTTGTCCAGTCTCGCTTGATATAAGACTTCAGAAGCACAGCAGTCTGTGATTGTCGTTGTTTGATTCTCCTTTTCATGACTGGTGATACATTTTCAATAGGAGTCAGATCTGGCCGGGCTAGCACATTCACTCTGTCTCTGAAACCACGCTCCATGTCAATAGTACCTTCGCACATATGCCAGTCACCCATGCCGTTTGCTCTGCTGCACCCCCATACCATGACAGACGTTTGCTTTTGCTTCTGTCACTGATGAAATTCTGGATGGTCCCTTTGGTCTTTGGGACTGAGAACTTGAAATCCATTTTTCCCAGAAACAAGTTGAAATGTGGACTCATCTGAGTACAGCACACATTTTCACTGTCCTTTTGACTATCAGAGATGGGCTCTGGCCCAGAGAACCCGGCGGCATCGCTGCATAGAATTGATGTATAGCTTTCTCCTTGTGTAACAGAGAATCAAGTTGCATTTCTTGATGCAGCAGCAGACTGTTTTAAGTGACAGCAGTTTTCTGAAGTACTCCTGAGTCCATGTGGCTATATTTAACACAGCAGCATGACGGTTTCTTTTGCAATGCCATCTGAGGGCTCAAAGGTCAAGCACATTCACCTGAGGTTTCCTGCCTTGCCCTACATGTACTGTGATCTCTCTGGATTCCCTAAATCTTTTCACAATATTACGTGTGGTAGTTGGTGAAAGACCTAAATTCTTTGCAATTTTGCATTGCGAAATGTGATTTTAGATTATTTTTTTGAAACTTCTTTCATGAAATTTGGCATAAAGTGATGAGCCATGATCCAGCTTTGCTTGCAAAGACTGAGATGCTCCTTTTATACCCAAACATGATACCCTGA